CAGAGAGAGAGACAGACAGACAGACAGACAGAGACAGGGATAGAGAGACAGAGATAGAGACAGAGATAGAAATAGATATAGATATTAATATAGACATGGATATTGATATTGGTATAGATATTCATCTACATACAGATATGGATATATGGATATATATATATATATATATATATATATATATATATATATATATATATATATATGTATATATGTATCTCAAAAACTGTTTAGCGCTAGCCTTGAGGAAATATTCTAATAAATAAACTAATAAGTGCCCAGAGAGGGACGGAGAGATTGATGCTGGGAATTAGCCTAATAAATCGGCTGAGAGCGACATGAATCAGGGAAGAGACAAAATTGGAGGCTATACTTGTGAGCATCAAAAACAAAAAATGGTAATGAGCAAGTCATATATGTCGGAGACAGAACGACAGATGGATAAAGAAAGTAACAGACTGGGCTATAGATAACATAAAGAGGTCAAAGGCTAGACCAATGACAAGATGACATGACGAAATAACGAAATTTGAGGCTAAAAACAAATAATTTGGAGAAGCCTATGTTCTGCAGTGGATTGATTCTGGCTGAATGCTCGGGGTGATGTGAAGCGATGGTGTGGTAGCCTAGATAGTGTTAAGCACTTTACATGCCTTCTCGCTTTCAGCTGCCACCACTGGCTAGCCTGGTGCGAAAAGGGAGCAGCTATGCATAAGACTCCCCTGCCAGCTCATAGACTCTCCATCATCAAAACTTCTGCAGTGCCTTCTCGTGGCCACCCATTAAAACTAGGTACCTTGCGGTCCTAGGCTGAACTGTGGAGCAGCAGGAGGCCCTTAAGGTACAGAGTCATGGCCCACCGGTGTGTGGACATGCCTTGGCTTGGTACTAACTCCTGCCTCCGTGCCCCCTAGGGTTAATGGGCGGCTGTGGGGAGGCAGGCCTTGCCAGTCTGCCTCCCCGAGATAACCGTATTGGCACCCAAGCATTTAGTCATTGGTCCTGGGGGAGGGCTAAAGTACCTCCCACCCAGCAAGTACGGCGGGCTGTGGGTTCCTCTGGGTTGGCGACCGCCGGGACTTGGGTAGGGAACGGGGGTTACCCATCATCCCATCAGGGTCCCGGCAGCCACCTGTCCTGAACCTTGTGGGGGAAAGCCCTAGGGAGCCCTGCAGGCAGTTAATGGAACCTGCTGCCAGCCAACCTCTTCTATATGGGGCGGCATCGGTAGGGGTGGCAGAGGTGGCGCCCACCCGGAGGGACTGCCTGAGGTTAGACCTCAGGCAGGCTGTCAGGGTAGGGGCGTGGAACGTCCGTTCCTTGCAACAGGATGATCTACTGTTGAGGGAATTGAAGCAGCTGAGAGTTGAGGTGGCTGCTCTCTTTGAGGTGAGAATACCTGGTATTGGCACAATAAGTGTGGGTGGCTATACTTATTACTGGTCAGGCCGCAGCGATGGCCACCATCTCCAGGGAGTAGCCATAGCCATCTCCAACAGACTTCAACCCTCGGTAGTAGAGGTCACTCCAGTCGATGAGCGTATTATGGTATCGAGACTGAAGCTTTCATTTGGCTTCATGTCTCTTACAAGATATCTGTCGAACTTTATGGCCCAGGAGCTGATGCTGGCAGCGAGAATAGCCTCCTTTTCCGTGACTTTGCTAGGTCCCAGAAATTGAGGATTTCTGGCTACTGGTATCAGCGTTCTGACCCACATCATTGGACTAGGTACAGTGATATGGGTAGTGTGGCCAAGGAGATCGACCACATCCTCGTTGGCATTTGGTGGAGGATCCTCCAAAACTACAGGGTGTATCGAAGCACCGAGTTCTGTGGAACCAATCATAGATTAATTGTGGCTACTCTCCGGGTCCACTTAAGAACCCCCCATCACCCAAATGAACACCCTAGGGTGTTTCATTTGGACAGATCAGATTGAGGGAAGATGTGTGTGCCTGGGGGGTTGCCGAGGCTATCTCTGGTCGTTTCACAGCACTTGAGGGCCTGACGGACCCTGCTCTTCTGTAGGACACCTTCAAGCATGAAGCATTTGATGCAGCCCATGAATCGATTGGTGAACGCCCAAGAGCAAGACAGAATTCCATCTCGCAGGAGACACTGGAAGCCACAGGTCCTTGTCGTGTGGCTTGATTGTCAGGGGATCGCAACTTGCACCGTTCTCTGGTGTGTAGGACTAGGACACTGTTGAGATGGCATAAAGAACAGTTTATCAGGAATCTTGCAGAGGAAGTCAAATGCCATTTCTTTGTGAATGTCCTGCCTACTAAGCCTTGAGAAAGCTAAACTCCAAGCCCTCCTCACAGACGACTGCAGTCCGCTCAGCAAGTGCCCAGATAATCTCAGATCCTGAGTATTTTGAACAGTTGTATCAGGTTGATCTACTAACAGTTAACCTATGGCAAGGAGCTTGCATGCAGTCCTGTCTGCCATCTGGCAGACTGGTACCACTCCCCCTCTGGTCATCCCTCTCTGGAAGGGGAA